CATAGTTTGTCATGATTCACAAATCGAAAGCCTTTGTGTAGCCAATAAAGCACAGGTAAACATCTTTCTGATATTCTCTGCTTTCAGCCAAGATCCATTGAACATCAGCAATGATAGCCCTCGACAGCACTTCACAACAACAGCTACTAGACTAATGCTTGACCGGTGGCTCTGCAGGTTGTAGATCCAGATCTGAACCTGCCTGATTCCAGGCACCACTACCACAGCAGGCCACTGCATTATGCTGGAATGGTTCCCAACCATGTGGTTCAGAACTCTTGGAGAGCAGGGTATGCGCTGGGGGTGGATGAGGGTAGGATCTGGACACACCTCTGGTCACCAGGGATGTGTGGGGAAAAGGAAGGAATCACACCTTTCCTGTTGCCTGTGAATCTGCTCTGCCAGGCCACTTCTGTCATCAAAGCTGCTCACTGACGTTCAAGATGGTCTTGCCACATCAGTCTCCCTCCCTCGTGTTCCTCCTCAGCTTCTCCTCCCAGCAAGCCCTCAGTCTACTTCTCTAAACTTTGATTTGAAGTTCAGAGTTCCAGAATTTTCATCTATATCTCTTTCATTTGGTTTCTTGTATCTTTGTAATACAGGGTCCATGTAATTTGTCTACATAGACCACCATTTTTATAGTGTGTAGTTGTTGTTAGGTGCCGTCAAGTCATTTCTGACCCACAGTGACCCTACATACAACAGAAGGAAACACATCCTCACAATTGCTGCTATGCTTGAGCCCATTGGCCCTACTGCACCAATCCATCTTGTTGGGGAAGGGGTGTCTCCCTCTTTTTGCTGACCCTCCAATTTACCACACATGATGTCTTTCTGAAGGGACTGGTCCCTTCTAATAACATGTCTGATAGCACCACTAAGTTCAAGAAATGCCTAAGATATTAGGGAGTTATCTACTACACCAAATGAGTTAGAATAGAGATTTAGTTGCTCCCTTCTTACGAATATTTGGTATCTTTAAGAAAGTCTGAAATTTACCAATAGCTCAACAAGCGTGTGTAAGTCTTTATCATAGATAAGTTATGGAAACAGATAACAGACGAGGTTACAAAAGAGACCTGTTCTTAACTGTGTCTAAGAATGTGTAGCTAAATTGGAACAGGTACATACCATTCTTTTTAGGCCTCACTTGAGTGCAAGGAAAAGCTCAAAGGCTTTTCAATCATTTAAAAGCTGCATGTGCAGCAAGTGAAGGTGACTGTGTTGAAGAATTTGTGTCAATCACTATTCACACAAATCACACAATAAAAAAGTGAATGCAAATTTATGAAACATTGCAAGGCAAGCAGGAGTTTTAAGTCTGAAGTTCCTAACCTGTGGACTACCTGTAGAACATGGGTCCTGGCTCTGCCTCCTGAAGTTTAGTAGGGACAACAGAACTTCACAGCACTAAACCCACTTATAAATATACTTACTTGGGTTTAATGGCTGCCTTTCCACTACACAGTCATGATGACCAAAATGGAGTCTACGCTTTACTACGGTATCCCTAGCATTTAGCAGTGTCTGCTAGTTCAATATTTGTCCAATACGTACAGCAAATAGATCTCAGCACAATATGATGAATGCTAGGAAAGGTATGTTGTTAAGTACTGTGGAGTTGGTTTTTACTCATAGCGACCCACCACAGGGTTTCTGAGGCTGTAAATCTTTACAGGAGCAGAAAGCCTCATCTTTCTCCCATGGAGCCGCTGGTAGTTTCGAACTGCTGACTTTGAGGTTGGCAGCCCTACTTGTAACCACTACGTGACCAGAGCTCCTTATGCAAATGCTAAGCCATGTGCCAAGGATATCAAGAATTCCTATGGTTTCATAAAATACTGCAGGAGGATGTGACTGCATTGAGAGAGAGCACTTCAGTGGGAACGATCAGTATTTTTTCACCCTAATGAGAGAACTTTGCTTAGTAGGCCTCTTTTGCTGAAGCACCTTTGCCTCTTTAAAGATAACACACGGTCAGGAGGCATTCAGGGAAAAGGCAGTTAATTGGCTTTGATTTTAAGTTTTACAGGGGAAGAATATAATTCCATTATAAAAAAGTTATAAAATGGCAGATTGGGCAGTTGTGCAGTGAGGAGCTTCTGTCACCAACAACACAGAATACCGGACCAAGCAGCCTCAGGGAATGGTGCTAGAACTCTGAGCCACACGTAAAGGACTATTTAGAAAATTGGAAGGCTTACAGCTAAGGGAATTTGTAGCAGAATCAAGAAATCCATTGCTTTGTAATTCAAGACACTCAGCTAATCCCAGAGCCATCACCTTGGAGAACCAAGCGGGGGAAGGATCAGAACAGCCAGGAACACCTGACAGAACTGTGGAGATACAGTTGTGGAAATTCTGTTTTTGGTATCTGTTCATTGGTCCCCAAAGTTTCCTCTTTTCTGGGTCCAACAGCTGTACTTGTTTTTTGTTTGTTTTTTTATTATTCCTTTCATTGTTTCATTATTTTTATTGTTTACTTTCTTTCTGCTTTTGTTTTTTCTGTTCTTCTGTTTCTCATTTCCTCTCTTCTTCATTTTATTTCTTTTGATCTTTCTTTACTACTCTACTCTTTTCATCTCCCCCAAGTATTTTTTCTAGTTTCTTTTATTTTTATCTCATTTTTCTCTCCTATAGCTCCGTTTTCCTGTTCCTTTTTCTCTATTCTTTTTTTCTGTATGCTGTCTTTTTTTCTCTATTATTTTCTCTTTTCATTATTGGTTGCTTATTTGTGTGTGTGTTTGGCAGAGTATCTCA